CATGGTCTTCACATGCTCTCTAGGAGATAAGAAGTGCTGGGGGAGAAACAGATGATTTCTATTAAGTCAAGTCCTACATAGGCTGAGTTTAAGGCAAAGAATGAGCCTGAATATGAAAATCAAAACCAGTGCATCAGGGCATATTTTTCTTTCAGAATATTCCATGGAATAACCTTTGCACACCATCTTGGCAATGACAGAAATCCCGTGTAAGGTGTTGTGTGTTTCACAGCAACATAAGGGGGGGAAGCAGCCGCAGCCAGTTGTTACTTCAGTCATGAACTAAAGGAATGTGTGTGCATGGTAAGGCCCGAAGCTGCAACATTTTTAAATCTTTTAGAAAATTCCAAAAAGTATCTCTTATCCCTTCTTCCACACAGGGCACATGCCTTCCCCCCAGCACTTCTTTCAAATTTGGACAACCCTAAGACCCTGGGGGAAAGGGTCCTAGGATATTCTTTAGTATTGTGAAGGAATGAAAGTAAATTTAGTTCTTCTGTTTGATTAGAGACAGAAAGAGACATAGTTACATTTTCTTGATACATAGACCTTTTATAAATCTTAGAGGAGGGTGGTTTTCCACATTTCTAGAGAAATTATTTTGAAGTTCACCAATCCTTTTTTTTTTTGAGACAAGAGTCTCACTCTGTTGCCCTTGCTACAGTCCCATGGTGTCATAGCTCGTGGAAACCCCTTGGGATCAAGAGATCCTGTAGTTCCAGGGGCCCAGGTAGTTGGGAGTTGGAACTGCAGGCACCTGCCACACCTCCCAGCTCTGTTTTTTAGAGACAGGATCTTGCTTTTGCTCAGGCTGGTCTCAAACTCCTGAGCTCAAGACATCTACCCATCTTGGCCTCCCAGAGTGCTAGGATTACAGGCGTGAGCCACTGCCTGCGCCCAGCGAAGCTCATCAATTCTGTCAACACTGAGCACTCCATCCACCACCTTTCTTTCCATTTTTCCCATTTCTAAATACTTTTTTTCATCTCTAGAAAATTGCCTACCACATAGTGGACATTCAGTAAAGTCTGTGGGATGCATCAGTGGGTTGCTGGATGCGTGTGTGACGGGACTGAGCATCAGGTGGTCCAGGTGTTAATCCTAAGACTCTGGTAGGTTCCTTACTACCGAATGGAAATTCATATGCTTTGCTTTCTGCTGTCGTAACTTTGGGTGAGTGTTTATGTGGAGGGTGTGGTGTGTGTTTCTCTTATCTTCCCAGATAAACTATGCCAGAGGTCTTAAGCTTGCATAGTCAGGATAGGCTAAGCCAGTAATAGAAATGGGAGGGTATAAAAATAAATTAATGGACCCTGTGGCCAATGGGAAAGGACAGGAGCCAACCTGTGTTAAGATGTGATGGGTCCACACATGCTCCATGTGCAGTCCAGGGACACTTGGCAGTCTGGGCTTCTCCACAAGGATAATTGGACATAATGCAGCTCTCTGGTATTTAAAAAACACAAAAATAAGAAAAGAAATAACACTTAAAATGTATGAAACACCTACTAAGTCCTTGGCACTGTTCTGAATTTCATCTGGTCTGATTTCATTTCATTGATACAATCACCATCATTTACAAATGACGGGACTCAGGCATGTACTGAGTGAATGTCTTTGATTGTACTAGTTATAAATAATTAAATGTTTAAAAAAAAAAAAACAGCACAGCAAACAACAAAATATCAAAGCCTTGACCTGAGCTTCTGACCCAAATGAGAGAAGCATCTTCCAAAAGCTCCTCTGAGTGGCGCCCAGGCGTTTCCTGGCATCTCTGAGGAGGATGGGGGTAAGTCCTGGGCCCCAGGTGGGTCGTAATCTATAACGTGACTGAGGCCTGCACATTCCTTACAGAGCTGACACAGGAAAGCACTCTGCAGTCTGCAAATTCTGTCTCTTTTGCTTCATGATGAAGAAAAGTACACGAACAAAACCAGCCTATTTCTCCCACGTGTTGAAATAACGTTAATAATCAGCAGCTGTCACTCGGTGGATTACCGCCTCGGAGTCCTACAGGCACCCACCGCAGTCAGTGCTGTGACTTTCCCATTGTACAGATAAGGAAATTGAGGCTTACAGAGGTGAATTAACTTCTGCCAGGTCACATACTACTGAGGGCCAGAACTCAAACCGAGTGGGCCTTCTCCAGAATGCACACTCTTGTCCACTGCTTGGTGATGTAAAGGAATCTGAAAGGAAAGTTCACTGATTTTTTTCTGCCTACGTTTGTCCACCACTTAAAAAAAATTAAATCCTCTTTTCAAAGTCTTGCATGAAACTCCAAATTATATCCTAAACAAGAGCAGACTCTTTCTGCTCTGGTTGAAGTGGAAAGTGGAGGCCAACCCTGGCCTCTGGCATTTCTCCTCTCACCTAACCCCACTGTCAGCTGTCTGAGCACTGCTCTGACCCTCCCTCCCCCTGTTACAGGCTCTGCTCCCCTTTCCTTAGCCCAAGTGGTCCATCCCTCATCCTCACGCATCTCCTCTCCCACTCACCCTCCCACACCCTCACTCACTGGTCCGTCCACCACTACCCTGCTCATGATTCGGCTCACTGGTCCGTCCACGCCCACCCTGCTCACGGTTCTCAAGTGCTGTGTCTCCAGTCCACATTCCTAGAGGCTTGTAGGACACATGCAGTGAAATCTTCTCTATGAGTCCTGATGGTGTAAAGTTGCCAGAACTGACTGGTCAGGGAGGTGCACGAAGGTGTCAGTGGGTGGCTCTATTAAGCTGCAGAGCTGACATGTACCACGGGGAGGGCTCCAGTCACTGTTAACTGCCTGGTGAGGAGGACCTGCCTCCCCCCAGCACACTCCCTTCCACCTGCCTGACCTGAGGGCGTTCAGCCTGAGAAGAGTGCTGCCTGAACAGAAGGGTTGGCACAGGTTGAAAGTACAAAATCTTCCTTCTCAATGCCTCCTGTCTCTGATGAAAGGCCTTAGAGTACAGTGACTGAGAACGAGGGTTGTGGAGTCAGACAGACCTGCCTTCAGACCTCCTCTGCGGCTCACAGCTGCGTGTCTCTAAGCTGAGGTTCCTCATCTGCAGGCCTGGATAATGATGCACGTTCTTGCTTAGCTGGGAGGTGTGAATGAGATGAACCGGGTAGACACCGAGCACCCGGCACTGAGCACTGGGAAGCCTCAGCGGGTGGCTACACTTAGGACTATTTTGTAGCCCTTTGCTTTGGGGGCAGGTGGTGAGCTCTGAAACCCCAGGCCTTACTAAAGCAAGGCCAAGGCTTATTTTTAATTAGTTACTGACCAGCTCTGTGACTCCATGACACCAGTAATCTTCCTAGTGCTTTGGAAGGCTGATGCAGATGGACTGCTTGAGCTCAGGGGTTGGAAACCAGCCTGAGCAAGAGCCAGACCTTGTCTCTACTAAAAACAGAAACATCAGCGGGCATGGTGGCCAGGCCTGTTTATAGTCCCAGCTATTCAGGAGGCTGAGGCAAGAGGATCCCTTGAACCCAAGACTTTAAGGTTGCTCTGAGCTATGATGGATGATGCCACAGCACTCTAGCCTTGGCAACAGCGTGAGACTGTGTCTCAAAAAAAGTAATCAAATAATTACTATTTATTTTCACAGCTCAGCAGATTACTAAAGAAAGAGATAAAAGGGAAGAGAATCTCAACAAATGGTGCACCTGCTACTGCCCCTTTCAGGCATCATGGGAGTGGCTTTATCTTTCTATCTTTCGTAACCCCCACAGTGCAGCGGGGAGATGAGAGCCCGACTCTGCTGCTCCGGTATAGTCCATGTTTCTCACAGTGTATTCCCTGACCAATGAGCATCAGAACCACCTGTGGGGGGGGGGGGCGTGCTCTACAGCCTCAGATTCTCGGGGGCAAGGCCAGGGCATGCACATCGTAACCCGAGTCCCAGACGACTGTCCAGTGTAAGGGTCTTTGCCTTAGTGCTATCACATAAAATTTGATTCTATATTTCCTTGTATTTATACATGTAAGTATTTTCTCTCTTACTTATGTCATAAATTCTCCCAGGTGAGGGCCATGTCTTCTAGTCTTCTGTGACCCCACTAGTGTGGACTTATATGCAGCTCAGTCCTGAACGTGTCCTTGGGAATTAATGAGAATTCTTTTTTTATTGTTTAACTTTTTATTAAATCGTAACTGCATACATTTATGGGGTACAATGTGGAATGCTTAAATCAAAGTGATTAACGTAGCCATGACCTCACTTACTTATTTTTGTGGTAACTTAGTTATTTTGAAGTGTCTGAAGTGTCCCTTGTCTTGATCTGTCAATGCCTCAAGAATGGGACAGACGTCAAATTAGAATGGCCGTTCCCCAGTACCCAGTGGTCTTTGTGTGCAGTGTGAGTTCTTCATCAATGACTTCCTCATGGTCAGGGGTGTGGGGAAGTCCTTTTACTGGTTAATGCACTCTGATTTCTGAATTATTCATCAGGGAACAAAATTAACAAGTCACTTAAACATGAAGCCAATTCCAAGTTTCAGAGCATTCGTAAAACAAAAACTCACAGGCCTTCCTGCCTTCTCATCACAAAAAGATGGGCACAGCAAAAATGTCTCTGTCCCAAATGGTTTCAACGTTTAAACATGTGAATGGAGACATGATTTTCATGACAGAATCCACTATGACGCATGTTAACTTGAGGGAAAAGGAAGGATTTGTTACTCTATAATGTATTTGTTTCTGAGAAATTGAGAGCTTTGCCTTATGTTTTTATGGTAGTTTTCTCTGAGGTTCCATAAACACTTTCTGGAACGTAGACGTTCTACCATGAGAGTCACAGGGGCACTTTCCAGCGCCCTGATGTCATTAACCCCAGTGATTTGGTTGCTATGATGTTTAATTATTTCTTGGACATTTAAAAAGCTATTCTCTAATCTCCAACCCTTTAACCATGTTTGATCTTGAGCAGGATGAAAAAATGTTTGGAATCTAGGCTATATTTTTCTTCTCTTAATTCACAGTAGCTTTCCCTCCCCACTTTCTCTTGTTTAGGATCAACACTCTGTGGTAGGCCAGAACACGGGCCCCAGTCCAAGTCCCAGCCCCTGCTCAAATCCAAACACTGGAAGTGGTTTCATGAACTCCCAGCAATCCCTGTTGAATCAGCAATTAATGGGAAAGAAACAGACCCTGCAGAGGCAGATCATGGAACAGAAACAGCAGCTTCTTCTGCAGCAGCAGATTCTGGCTGACACGGTAAAACTTTCTCTCCATTTCTACTGCACCTACCTGTGGGCCCATTAGCGGGAGACCATTCCTTCCCATCTCCATTTACTGCCTTTTCTCTGTGTCTCCTTATGTGAAAGCAGCAAGGGTGTCCTGGTTGTGGTGAAGGATAATTCCATACATTCACAGTGCTGTAGGAAAACAACAAACAGGCTCCGCGCCTATAGCTCAACAGGCTAAGGCGCCAGCCACATACACCTAAGGTGGCGGGTTCAAATCCCCAGCCCGGACCCGCCAAACAACAATGACGGCTGCAACCAAAAAATAGCC